ATATATTTATATAAATATATATATATATATATATATATATCTATATATATATATATATATATATATATATATATATATATATATATATATATATATATATATATATATATATATATATATATATATATATATATATATATATATATATATATATATATATATATATATATATATATATATATATATATATATATATATATATATATATATATATATATATATATATATATATATATATATATATATATATATATATATATATATATATATATATATATATATATATATATATATATATATATATATATATATATATATATATATATATATATATATATATATATATATATATATATATATATATATATATATATATATATATATATATATATATATATATATATATATATATATATATATATATATATATATATATATATATATATATATATATATATATATATATATATATATATATATATATATATATATATATATATATATATATATATATATATATATATATATATATATATATATATATATATATATATATATATATATATATATATATATATATATATATATATATATATATATATATATATATATATATATATATATATATATATATATATATATATATATATATATATATATATATATATATATATATATAGTTGACTGAATAATAGGATGGTCATGTACAACCACTTGACGATGGTCACCTATATACTTTAAGTCAAATAGCTTCTGTTTTCTTAGTATTTATTTTTAACTTATTTTTATCACACCAACTAACAAACCTGCTATTTTCTGACTGGTAAATGCCACTAATATCGTCACTCATGCTCAAAAAGCACATTCAAAAGAATAACACAACTTTCAAGTTGATGTCACTCGAGTGTCTGATGGGGATCATATTTACCATCAATAAAATTGTTTTCGACTAAAAAAAAACTTTTAAGTACTCCTTACATTGATTAATTACAATAGATGGGCATAGATTGTTTTTTTAATTTAGATTAATCTTGAATTCTGCCAAAGACATTCAGAATATGTGTGCTACCCAAGTAATAAGTCTTTGAGCACGGGTTTCTCAAGCCAGGTGGTGCATTAGACCAGGGGCTCATCTCCAAAATGTATCACAAACTGCTTGAGAAACTGTTCTACTATGACAATACTTGTACAATATACTTGTGTTTACTGACTGGTGAATTTTGAACTGTTGGCCTACATAAGCTCCAAACAGCGACCTTAATCCGACTAAAGTCATAACTGATCTAAACAGAAATGGAATTAAGACGTGGAGTATGCTGATATTAGTAGCATTACTGAAGTAAACACCACAATCAAGCTATTACCGTCTTGTAGCACTTTTCGCCATATTTTGCGACAAGAAACACAGATGCGGCTGTCAGTAAAGGACTGCGTGCAAGCACATGCACGCACGCACACACACACACAAATCACAAAATGAGGAAGTTTTTTTTTTCCCTTCCATTTAAGCACGCGCGTTAGTAAATTCAATAACACTCTCACCAGTCCTTACTCCTCATTTGCGTCTAATACCCGAGTTTGTAATGGGGCATGAATGAAACGTTCATGATTTAAACTGAAACTGCCGAACTGCAGTTAAAGTCAAGCATCCTGCTGATTTGATTCAGAAAGGCACTTTTTTGTCAGACGGCTCACCGGTCAGGTATACATCCACGCTAAATTATCAAGGTGAAAGTCACCATAGATCGCGTAGAATAGACCCAGCTCCCAACCCAACCTTGAGAATAGATTAACGCCGATATTTATTTTATTTTATTTTTATTTTTTTAAATCGCTCAATCAGCGCAGCCTGTTAAGGCTGATAATGGCGCATCACTATTAATGACCCAAGGTTTTATCATGTTTCTTTGATTAAATACAGATTTTCATTTTTGCATGGTTCAAATGACTCAATTCTGATTTTTTCTCCCATGTGGCACAGATCGGATATGGCCCATGTACGTGTAAACAAGTAAAAAATCACATGGATTGCGATTTACTCAAATCAGACTGTAAGCAGGCAGATCAGATATTCACCTGTCAATGCGAGTCACGCGTCATTAAAAACCATAGCGAATAACTCAACTCTTATGCTTTCATTTTAGTGCAGGCTTCAGCAGAGTCCCAAACCCTAAATCTCCTACACAAGGACTAAAAAAGCTTTTATATTGTCCTATAGCACAAGTATTTAAGCATGTTAATGAGAGAGAGACAGTGCGCAACATCTGCCTTGTAACCAGTATAAACTAATATTTAACTGTGGCATCGTCACATGCCTAAATCATGGCATAAACATGACATTAAGAAGCCTACTGGTTTAAAAAGGCCTAGATTAAAAGAAGACAGACAAATGAGAACTTTTTCTGTCAAACTATAGTAAAACAACTTGTCAAAAAGAAATTTAAAAAAATTAAACCCTTTGACCAGATTAAAAACAGGAATGGAGAAAAGAGTGCTCTTTTATTATCAGCTGTCAGTCAGCGCCCGCTCTTTTTTTTTCCTGCTCATTGTGCCTTTGCCGTGTGCTGTGTAAATACAGACAATCTGATACGAGTCACTTTTAAAAGATTATGTGAGCAGGTCAGCAAAAAAAATTAGATGCAGTCACAAAATCAGAATTGACCATCAAGATCTGCAGTGTAAATGCAGCCTTAGAGACTGATCTGATAAGAAATAGCCTGAAATAGCTTTTGAATTGATTCTCAGTGTGTTTCTTTCATGTTTTTGTTCAGCTGCGAGGTTCGCTGTCCTAACGGCACATACGGAGAAAACTGTGAGAAAGACTGCAGTCACTGCTTTAACGGAGACTGTCATTTCGCCACAGGAGAGTGTCTGTGCGACCCAGGATTCTACGGGACATAGTAAGTCACATCTCTGAGTCACGCACATATTTAGGTCATCTTGAAATCTGAGCCTGTTTTCATTAACCAGTGAATCACAAAAACAACAGAGAGTCATTCTTAACGGTTTAAAGATGAGCTTTAAAATGCAGTGTGCAAAATAAGACAAAAGCACACACTCAAATGTAAACTTATTTGTCTTTTTAGAAAGTCTTCATGATGCTCAGTGGAAACAAATTCAGCATTAAAGGGGACCTATTATGCTATTTTTACAAGATGCAAAATAGACCTCTAATTATTCTAGAGGTTGTGTATGTAAAGTTTCAGCTCAAAATACTCCACAAATAATGTTTTATGACTCTTTGAAATGGCCACTTGTATGCTGTGTTCACACCAGATGCGGAACACCTTACAAATAGACGCGTAAACATTGAGTTTACTCACTTCATTTGCTCGTCAATTTCACTTCACAAAAGACACGGATTTGCATCATGGGCTGAGCTTCTGTTTGCCCGGTGACTCTGGCTAAAATGGATTTTATTGAGAGAGTAGTGGTGATTAGGAAGGCTGAAAAACAGCGTAGATTCAATCGGCGCTGTGTCTAAGTCCACTAAATCCTTTCAGCTCTGTGAGTTCATCAACTCCTCCAGAAACCATGGCCCAATTCCAATTCTACCCCTTAGCCCTTCCCCTTAGCCCTCACTTTGCACGTTCCTATGAAGGGGTAGGGGTGTCCCAATTCTCTTTGGCTTGAAGGTGTGGGGCTAAGGGGAAGGGGTAGATAGCCCTTTGAATAAAGACTTTTCAGGAGCACACTCGAAAAGCAAGGTGTAAGAAATTTTTTTTTCAGGATTTTTAATATATTTTAATTGAACACCTCACATCACTTAAGGTACATAAACAGTTTGGTCTTATATATTGTGAAAAGGCAAAGCTGAAAATTTATGGTTAAAAAGCTGCTGACACACGTAGGTACCTTCGCGCCGGCGTTAACAATGGCTGCAGAGGGAACATTTTGAAGTGGTGACATCTGTACTAGGGTTGGGCCGATAGACGATGCCATCGTCCATCACCGATGGCCGATAAACTTCATGATGCTGAGCCAACATCGCGATCCTTCACCCCGCCCCACAATTATATTGATATATAACTTATTATTTGCATGTCATCTTAATAGCAATGACGGTCTTTTCTTGAGCTGCGTAAAATTTTGCATATAGCTGCCACTTGCACGGCTGACAGCATCGTGAGGATGAAATGAAGGATTACATACTGCTACATAATGCTCATACTGATTCTCTTACAATTTGTTTTTGCATTTATTTTCATTTTAGCTGCAACCTGACCTGCGAGTTGGGCCATTTCGGAGTCAACTGTGCCCAGGACTGCCCATGTCACGACAAAAACTGCAACCCAGTATCCGGAGCCTGCAACTTATGTAAGAAACCCTTCCTTCTCCTCTTGTTAAAGTCACTTCTCTGGCTTTTGTTATGTCATTTGCCATGGAGACACAGAAGAGTTCCTGAAGTGTTGAGATGTGCTCACGGGGTTCAACATCACTCATATTTTCCATTGCGTTAAAGGGAGGAGAACAGCTGCCTGGTTGAGGCAGAGGTCAATATGAGATTCAACCTTTTGATTCACTGTGAATTTGCGAGCATGTCATTGAAACGAGAAGTGAAATCCAGCAAATGCAGCATGACGGCATGTCAGGATCATTACATAAATTGGCTGCATCTAAAAATCGCCTACTACTCGAGTACTACATTTAAATTTACCACACGACTGTTAGAAAAGTATGTTCTATATAGCAGGGGTTCCCAAACTTTTCAGCTCGCAACCCCCAAAATAACAATGCCAGTGACTCGCGACCCCCAATACCCTCTGAGGTGGTTATTAATACAGAAACCTTGCATGTATTTGGCGCACACACACCAATAGACCCAAGTTTATTCTTTGTTTTATTTTTTTAGTGCTGTAAATGTTCCAGAAAGCTTAACCTGGTATTATAAAATCAATCAGCTGCATCTGACGCTACTGCTGTGTCTTTAGCATAATGTAATTATCTCAGGCGTCGCATTCCAATAGAACTAGTAACTATAAGCTACTATAGTAACTATATACAGTACTATATACTATTTAGTAGGTTATAAATGAAATATGGTAATTCTTATGGTTTAATAAAAATAAATAGATTTTTGGAAATCACCAGGCGGCCCCCACTCATTGTCCCGCGACCCCTTGGGGCGTCTCGACCCCCACTTTGAGAATCACTGCTATATAGTATGAATGCCAGTAGTATAAATGGAATTTGGACATACTGTACTACACTACCAGATAAGAGTCTTCTTGCCTATCCAAGTTTTAGGAACAACAAATAATAACTTGACTTCTAGTTGATCATTTGGTATCAGAAGTGGCTTATATGAAAGGCAAAGGCCTCTAGATTACGCTTCTAATTACTTTTCTAAAACATTCCAGGGTTCTAACCACCATAGACAATTCTGAATAATTAGAAAATGGCCAAAGTGTCCCTCCCAAATATTTGACATTCCAGCACAGTGCTGCTTCACTTCAATATTCACTGCTCATCGTCACAATTACTGCCAATAATATGAAAGTAGGCGGCGTCAATGGTTTAAAGAGGGCAAGTTCCAGTACAAAGCATCAGTTAATATCCTGAAAGAGAGCAGCTGTTTTATAATAGAAATGTACAACCACAATAGACAATAAATAGGAATATCCAGTTATAAAAATTATTACTGGTGGCATGGTGGCGCAGTGGATAGCACTGTTGCCTCACAGCAAGAAGGTCCCTGGTTCAAGTCCTGGCTGGGCCAGTTGGCATTTCTGTGTGGAGTTTGCATGCTCTCCTCATGTTGGTGTGTTTTTCCTCCGGGTGCTCCAGTTTGCCCCACAGTCCAAAGGCATGCACTATAGGTAGGCCCACCCGGAATCTGCGCGCGCTTCTTAATGGTGAGTGAATGCTTGAGTGAAGCGTGTTAATCTATATTTATTCAGTTTTTAATTAATTTCAGTAATATTATTGACTAATGTGAAAATGTTCATCTGATTTATGTACAATGCAGTTTGCACAGTAATATTTTCTGTCTTTTACTGGATATATTGTATAACAAACTTGCTTTATTTACCAAACAAAGTGAATGTAATAGGATTTGCATTTTCAGCATTAAAGTTTAAAAAGATATTTTTTTTATTTGCAATATTAAGGTTTTAGTTATGATATTCTCAAAATAATTCCGCAGAAATCTGCAGACTTTTACCAAAATTCTCAGCAGAAATAGCAAAAAACATCCGCAGATTCCGTCTGGCCCTAACTATAGGTGAATTGTATAAACTAAATTAACCATAGTGTATGAGTGTGCGAATGAGGGTGTATGGGTGTGTCCTAGTACTGGGTTGCAGCTGGAAGGGCATCCACTGCGTGAAACATACTGGAGTAGTTGGCGGTTCATTCTGCTGTGGCGACCTTTGATAAATAAGGAACTACTGTAAGCCGAAGGAAAATGAATGAATGAAATGCTACTACTTTTTCCTGTAACTGTATTTTGAGACATACATAAAACTATCAGTGTGTGTATTTTAAACTATTGTTAGCAAACATTCTAATATCTTTACTAAATTAAATCTAGAATTTCCTTAACTGGTCTATTTATGCAACAAATTAGTCCACTTCAGTGTTCAAGACATGTTTATGGCTTTGTTTCTAGCATTAAAAAAAAAGCTTGGAGCCTAATATTTACATGGCTTATTCAGTGTCAAAGCTATTCAATTTCATTTCATGAGACTCAATCAAAATTTATAGGGGTCGTAAAACTGAGAAATCAAATCCCCCTTGATCTTCTGACATGAGAGGTCAGTGTAATATAAAACATCCTGTAAGTTCCAAAACTTACAACTTAATTGTTAGTCTAAAAACAGCACAAACGAACATTGTGCTACTTCAGTGTGTAATGTGGCTAAACTCCATCTCTGCTGAAGATCTGTTTAGCTCCGCCCACCAACTATTAGCCAACCCTACCAGTGAGTGAATACTTTGATCGACTATCCACCATGCCTGTACAGTGATTCTGATAAAGGGAATTGAAACGGCAGAAAATAGCATCCTAAATTATTATAGTTTTTTATCTGCAAATTTTGATAAAATCACAAGTAGACCTCAGAGAACAGTAGAAAATGATAATAAAAATGCAGCTCATGACCCCTTTGAGTTATCATTAAAGGGATAGTTCACCCAAAACTGATTCTCATTTTTTACACATATTTCATGAGTTCCAAACCTGTGTGACTTTCTTTCTTTTATTGTCCAAAAAAATTATTATTTTTTTTTTTTTTAAGAAATCTGTAGCCATTGACTTTCATAGTCTGTTTTTTCCTACTATGGAAGCCAATGGCTACAGGTTTTCAAAACAGGACAAAATAGCTTTCTAAACAATCTCTAAATAGTTTTTTTGTGCAAATCATGATAAAATCATTACTAGATCTCAGAGAGCAGTAGAAAATGAGAATAAAAAGGTCAGTTCACGACCCCTTTAAGTTATCAGTAGAGGAATAGTTCAACCAAAACTGAAAATTCTCATAATTTAAGCATAATTAACTTGTTCCAGACATATTTGACTTTCTTTCTTTTGTTAAACAGAAAATGATATATTTTTTAAAGAAATCTGTAGCCATTGACTTCCATAGTATCTGTTTTTCCAACTGTGAAGCCAATGGCTACAGGTTTTCAAAACAGGACAGCAATAGCTTTTTAAATGACTTCTAAATAGTTTTTGTGTAAATTTGTCATAAAATCATAAGTAGACCTTTGAAAACAGTAGACAATAATAATAAAAAAGGCAGTTCATGACCCCTTCAAGTTATCATTAAAGGGATATTCACCTATAACTTTAAATTCTCATCATTTAGACATAATTTACTAGTTCTAAACCTGTTTGACTTTGTTTCTGTTGTTGAACAGAAAATAAGATATTTTTGAAGAAATCTGTAACCATTGACTTCTGTAGTATGTTTTTCCTACCTTGGAAGCTAATGGCTACAGGTTTACAAAATAGCTTTCTAAATGACTTCTAAATATTTTTTTATGTGCAATATTTATTAAAATCATAAGTAGACCTCATAGAACACTAGAAAATAATATTAAAAAAGCAGTTCACGACCCCTTTAAGTTATCACTAGAGGGATAGTTCAACCAAAACTGAAAATTCTTATAATTTACACATACTTCACTTGTTCCAAACCTGTTTGACTTTCTTTTGTTGAACAGAAATAAGACATTTTTGAAGCCAATAGTTGCAGGTTTTCTAAACAGGACAGAAATAGCCTTTTAAATGACTCCTAAATAGTTTGTATGTGGACATTTTTATCAAATCATAAGTAGACCTCAGAGAACAGTAGAAAATAATAATAAAAAAGTCAGTTTGTGACCTCTTTAAGTTATCACTTAAAGGGATAGTTTACTCAAAACTGAAAAATGTCATCATCTACACATACTTCCCTTGTTCCAAACCTGTTTAACTTTCTTTTGTTGAACAGAAAATAAGATTATTTCTAAGAAATCTGTAATCAGAAAAACGGCACAAAATATCTTTCTTCAAATAAGCTTTCTTCAAAATGTCTTCTTTTCTTTTTTTAATGAAAGTTTATAACCATTTTCTGTGTAAACTTACAATTTAAGTTATATATATATATATATATATATATATATATATATATATATATATATATATATATATATATATATATATATATATATATATATATATATATATATATATATATATATATATATATATATATATATATATATATATATATATATATATATATATATATATATATATATATATATATATATATATATATATATATATATATATATATATATATATATATATATATATATATATATATATATATATATATATATATATATATATATATATATATATATATATATATATATATATATATATATATATATATATATATATATATATATATATATATATATATATATATATATATATATATATATATATATATATATATATATATATATATATATATATATATATATATATATATATATATATATATATATATATATATATATATATATATATATATATATATATATATATATATATATATATATATATATATATATATATATATATATATATATATATATATATATATATATATATATATATAAATATATATATATATATATATA